AAAAAAAATGGCCAAAGACATTGAGTTGTTTAATGTAATAAATAAATTCACAAACGTTTCCTTTTTATATTCGCGTGTAGTTTGTCATTGCATATATGCACTTTATGTAAACATTTGAAAAGGGATATTCGTCTCGTGAATATTCCTTTTTACAGAAAGGTTTGTCCCATTGTTGAGGGAGTGTTTAGCCCCGTACCACCTGTACCGGTCACGGGAGAAGGCTGTGATAAATTGTAAAAACTTGTGCCCCATCCTTTGTTTAATTTTATTGGCAACAAATTTATGTTAAAAGCTAAATAAATTTAAATTCTTAATATTGGCAAGTGTGCAATTAACTTCTGATGATGAATAATTACTGTTCAATAATTACAGTTAGCCGAATTAATGTACACATTTTTTAGCAAGTTATACTTTGTAAGCGTAGCTGTTTAATATGTACATGAATAACATGAATTTCGCCTGATAGTCTGGTTAGCACAGCTGGCGAGTGTACGGATTTGTGTTTGTGTGTAATTTGTTGTTCATTCTACTTTCGGTTTGTGTTTGTTTTATAATTCAGTTTCACTGTTCAGAGTGTACATGTGTGTCTGTTCTACAACATAATTAACCTAATACTTGTACATACAAGACCCCGGTAGACAGTGCAATGCTACCGCGTAGCAATCTACATTACAAAATTTCACGGAATTCCATTTCTATTTTTAGATCTTCTCGGTATTTCAACACAGCCCAGACAGAAGCGGTCACGGAGACATATATCTACAGTAAATAACAGAAAGGTGAGTCGAACAGTTATTAATTCGGTATATTTACTTTAGCGTGCATATATATATAAGCATCAAATATTAATGTTGATTGTAGTGTTACTTGAACATACCTGTCAACCTCTCAGCATACACATCAGGGTGATGACGGCGCCGTCAAATGTACGTGTGCGAGCTCGAGGCCACCTATGTGTGACTCACTTATCGGATTGTTTTCTCAACGCGTTAATTGACTTTACAACTGTAATCCGGACAATCCGGTTGAGTTGACAGGTATGCTCGAAGATATCTTCAGAACTTATAACACGTACAATCTGGGTCAGCTGCCGTCGCGGTATAAATGTGTTCATGGGTATATACATTTGTTCATACTGATTATGAAAATAACTAGCGGTAAATAAAGCTCAGACATAGAGATAGTAATGCGGGTATTGTAATCTATCATAATTGATATATGACCGATACATCATGATAAATGACCTGGATCATTATATAATAATGAAGATAGTTATATGAATGTTTTAGCAGATGTTGTTATGGGGTCATATACCACACATTGCTATTGATGACAAACTAAATAAAGCACGCGTCTTATAGGACCATAACAATATTTGTTAAAATATTCATAATTTATATTTACAGTTTGATGGAGTACGTGTTTTTATGCTTTAATTAGTTATTTTGAACATTTTGAACTGCAAATTAAGTGTTGACAATAGTGAAATTGATGACGTTACAATAGCAAGTGCGTGATTCTCACGGTAACAGATGACGTCACGCGACATCATTTTTTTCAACAGTAGAAGACTCCGCGCCATTCAAATAACCATGAAACATATATCTATCTAGTGTTATGCCGTATTCCTTTAGGAAACAGACACGTACAAAATGTACGTACGTATATCATTTAGGCCTATGTTTACAATAGCGAGGCTAGCATCCCGCGAGAACAACATTTTCACTTCTGTTGGTCTATGCAATTTATCATGGGACATTCCCGTCAGACATTAGAACTTTCAAAACATGAATTCCTGTTGTGACACCTGAAACTGGTACCATTATATAAAAGTTTGTTCCGTTTCTTTGGGTTTAGCGACGTACCAACTGTGAAGGTCGTTTAAGGACGTGTTTCTATGTGTGTCAGTGTGTTTGTGTGCTGGAGACGCCTAGCGGTATACATGATGTATATGCCTCTTTGCGACAGCGCGGATCTGATACCGACCTCCGAGTTCTACCTCACTGAGGTGTAAAATAATATGTATATCTGGAGTAGACAATGCAATCACCGTCGAATCGACTACGATATGAAGGGTATGTACATTTAATTACCATGTTTAAAAAAAGAATGAATTCAAAATTTTAACAACTATAAGCTAAGTCCACATACTCTAAGAGCGTTATCGTTTTCTTGGGGTTTCCCACTTTGGTTGCCTCATACAATATGTAGATGGGGACAGTAGGTAATGATAGAAATAATAATAATAATTCGAGGTTTTAATATACCGCTTTATCACAACCCAGTTCGTAGGTCGTCTCAAAGCGGTTCACAAATTATTATCTGTGGTTATAGGGCCTTTGCAACCAGCCAATATATATTTCTCAACTCCCTGGGGAGCATACAGCCGATGCTGCCATTTCGGCGCTCACAGCTAGCATTCTACAATTCTAGCACTGCCCAACCACTTACTCATTTACAGCTGAATAGACTGGACCAACGGAATATAGTATCTTGCTCAGAGATACAACACAATGACTCGAACCCGCAACCCTTCGGTCACGGGCCCGGCGTCCTACCAGGACACGTACTATTGAGTATTTATTTTTCAATTCCTAACCAGAAGGGCTTTCATTATATTCAGATTTTGTTCATATATGATCAAATGTTGTGGGTTCAATAGCATCGAAGAATGAATAGAATCACAATTATTTGGATAAAAATTGTTATAAACGCTTTAACATTTAAATAACGTATAAACTGATAATCGGCCCTTACGTATCCCTGTAGTACCACTGCCAAAACATGTATCTAATGCCGTTTCTGAAAAGAAAGCCATACGATGCGGACTTTTTATGCAAAATGGTAAAACGAAATAACCAGCGTCCTGGTTCAATTTCGCTACCGTCATGTCCAAAGCAAAATTAAGGGGATGTTTGAAGAATTGTAGGAACAAGGATCCTTAATGCCCAGTAATTTGTTTTTAAGACCAACAATGCATAGAACATGAACGAGGAACATTTTGATAGTTCACAGATACACTACTTAACCTAAGGTTAGATATAAATAAATATGTGGTTTTCCTGAGGAATTGATGCATAAATAAGTATATTCATTTAATTATTAGGGTGTCACATGTTAATGCATACATACGGTAGATAAATTGCACTAATTCAGATAAAACCATCTTAGCACCCAGTCATTACTGACTTATGAGACACTTCAAAGCAATTTTAAGTATGTGATATCTCTGAAATACAACGGGGAAAGACTGTCTATTAAATGATTAGGGCATTTCATGCTATTAATAGTTTTTAAAGCAATTACGTCATGATATCATTTAGGATATTTGTTCTTTATTTAGCACAAGGTTGTTCCCTTGGCTTATATTTAGAAACAGATCTGGTTATTCCATCTTTATTTAGGACGAGGTGGTTTCCATGGCTTTTATTTAGAAACAGATCTCGTTATTCCATTTTTATTAAGGACAAGGTGGTTTCCATGTCTTATTAAGAGACAGATCTGGCTTTGCCATTTTTGTTAAGGACTAGATGGTTTCAATGGCTTTTATTTAGAAACAGATCTGGTTATTTCATCTTTATTTAGGACAAGGTTGTTTCCATGGCTTTCATTTAGAAACAGATCTGTTAATTCCATTTTTATTTAGGACAAGGTGGTTTTCATGGCGTTTATTTAGAAACAGATCTGTTTATTCCATTTGTATTTAGGACAAGGTGGTTTCCATGGCTTATATTTAGAAACAGATCTGGTTATACCATCTTTAATTATATTACGTAATTAGCTAAGTTTAGTACATTTGTATATTATTAAAAGACTCTTTCATATGTACCAGAGGTGGATAGAGAATTCCTCCCGAGGGGATCATTAATTCGGGTAAACCCGAGGCTTTGCCGAGGTTTTTACCCCAATAATGATCCCCGAGGGAGAAATTATCTATCCATCTACCATTTCATATGGAAGTGTTAGAGGGGCGATAACTCTGTTATCGTTCCTCTGAACGAAATGTTAACACGGCTAAATGTAGCTAATTTGCCGCATATAACAGCGATTTGAGTACGAAAAAAACGGCTCCATAACTTTTGCTGAAACTTTCCAAGTTTGTAGAACTCAGCGCGATCTACTTGTGTATCTGTTATATCTGGGAAAAATCTAATTATTGAGTTATTTGGTGTAAAACACGCCAAAATCGGCATTTTGACCATTAGTAGCTGTATAATTCACCCTGGAGAATTAACACTTAAAGCTGACGAACTGAAACTCCAAACATAAGTAGTCCAAGTTATTCT